CAAAAAAAAAAAAAACAACAACAACCCAACAACAAACAAACCAAAAAAAAAACATCAACCCAAAAGTGTATTTTAAATGGCTTTTAATTGTGTGGTGTTTCTCTTAACTCAAACGAAGCATAAAATGGCCGTGTGCAAGTGTATATGTTTTGGCGGGAGAAAGGGGGGGAGGGTGTGCACTTTTTGCTATGGAACTGAGATATAACGTATTTTCACGGTGTTTATTTTCTATCGAAATGGAGCTCTGCCTTCTATCTTTTGGGGCCTCGGAGCGGAAGATGGTTATTATTGGAAATGGTTTGCCTTTGGACGTGCAAATTGACCGAACGTGATATATTATGCTACTCTCCTGCTCCAGAGTTCAAATTTTATGTCTTATCCATGATTGTTCTTCATCGTAATTATGATCATCTTTTTTTCATCTCTTCGTTTCATCGTACGAATCTTCTACGTGTCTTCTTTCCCACTGGTGTTCCTTGTCGTTTATTTTGATCATGTTTTCTCCTCTAAATGGTCTTTCTCGTTTCGATTGCTTCTCCTTACTCACTGAGTGTTCGAAGGGTGGGACGAGCATGCCCTATACTATGACGCTTCTTAACGTTCTCTTTGTAGTTTCTGCCTGTCTGTCTTGTCATTTATTTTTTTAAATGGTACGCGTGTGTTTGGAGGATGCTCTGGAGTGGTGTGCTCTTTCATTCCTGTCTATTATCCTTATTTCTCCTCCCTCTTTTTGGTGTTTGTTACTGTCTTGTATCACCTCTAAACTTCCATACTTATGTGACCTGATTGCGTCGTAAGTGTCGTAAAACGCTGATTAAAACATAAAAGAAGATTGGCGGGTGTGACAGAGAGTCCCATACTATGGCACTTCTTGTCTTTCCCTCTCTCTGCCTGTCTTGTTTTGTCCTGCTCATAAAAATTGTATTTCTAACTTCAGTCGAATTAAACTCCATCCTACCCTTTCCAACACTTTCAGTCGAACAGACAAAACGCTGTCGTTTTGTCTTAATCTTTGATGATTATAGTGCGGTCAAAAATTCGTGGTGCAACTTTTCCTTAAATATCTCTTTAATGGGTGAATCAATGTCATCCATACTTTGCACAGCAGTTTGTATCAATTTGTCTTAACGGAATCCTATTTTTCCACAACATTTGAGGCTAGATTTAAAAACTTTTCTTCTTAAATTTATATAAAATACTATGAATCTCCGCCGCGCAGAAAAAAAAGGAATAGGCCTACTCAGTCACAGCACTTCCCGCTTCTTGCACACTTTTTCACACGCAATATTATGGCTTACGTCACAGCTCATCAGTGACACTTTTTATTAGCAAAACAAGTTACAAGAAATGTATTTTATAGTGAACACTTTTTTGCACTAAAGGTTCTCGAAACATGCGTTCAATAAGCATAATGTCGCGATTACAAAAACATGATAGACTTGCTCTTAAAAGCGATATTGCCCCAGCTGTAAAACTGTTTAAATCTGTAAAAACCACCCACTTGGATTTTTTATTAGTAATATTAGTGTTTATTAAGGAATTTTCTAAAATACTGCCAACAGGCGTTTACAAAAATACTGATCTTTTAAGAAAAATTGATACAAGTCACTGCAAAAGCTGGAGAGTCTAAGTTCAATAGTTTGCTTTTTTTAAATATTTGACAATAACTTGCGCCACGAATTTTTGACCACACTAAAGCGCTTGAAAAGCATCACAACGGGTTTTATCATCGTGGTTGTAGGTAGGTCCTACTTATTTTCTTCCCCTCTGTCATTTCAGTCTGTCTGTCCTATTTTTCTCTACACTGAATGACCGTTGTTGTATAGATGTGTTTTACTTACTCAAGCCAAACTGCTTTATCGGTTAGTTGGCGGGTTCTCTGGGGTGGTTTGCTCATTCTTTCCTATCAAACATCTATCGTCCTGATCTCTCTTCCTTTTTGTGTTTGTTATTCTCTTGTGACGCCTCAAACCTTCGGCACTTATATGATCATATTGTATTGCAAGTGCCGTAAAATTCTGACTAAAACTAAAGCTGTTTTACTTGGTCTCATCGACAGGTAATTTTCTAGAACATTCCATCCACGATGAAATCAACGGGATGTCTCGTCCTTTTTGGACTGCTGCAGTTCCTGGCTATTGGACTCGTTGAGGTAGTACACTTCTCTTTCTAAATCTCGATAAATGTATATTTTGTTTGGTTGGTTGTTGTTGTTTTTTTTTCCTGGGGGCTTGGTTTAATTTTTTGTTTTTGTTTTTGTTCCTGATTTGTTTTGTTTTGTGTTGGGGGAGGGGGGTGTCGCGCGTGTGTGTGTGTGTGTGTGTGTGTGTACACATGTGTGTGTGTGTGTGTGTGTGTGTGTGTGTGCGTGTGTGTGTGTAAAGGAGGAAGAGAGAGATTGTTTGTTGTTGTTGTTTTGTTTGTTTGTTGTTTTTTTCTTCACTAAACGTCTCTATTTTTTCATCTGCAATGGTCCAAAGAGACTGAAGGATAAGAGGGTTAATTACTTGTGTATTGTATATGTACTGCAAGTGTGTCTGCATTTTTTTAAACGCGTTTGCTTGCTGCTTGTGGTTGAAGGATGGTTCTTCCAGTAGCTTTGACCCTACGTTCCTTACAATTTCTTCACTACCCCCCCCCCCCCGGGGGTCAGTCAGTTTTGCTTTCTTCTAGCACAACCGTATTGAATCGCTGTTGGGGCATCTCTTTTTCTGTTTAAATTTGGTCCATTTGTTTAATTTTCTGTCATTTTTAAAGTTTTCTTTTTCAACTATTAAATTCTAAAATAATTACCTTCGTTTTTCTATGTATTATCTGTGTGTGTTTGTAAGTTTTGTGTGTGCATTTTCGTGGGGATGGTCGTTTGTTTGTTTGTTTGTTTTCTTCTTGTTTTTGTTTTGTTTGTTTTGGGGAGTTGTTTGTTTGTTTGTTTTGTTTTGTTGTCTTTGTTTTTGGTTGTTGTTGTTTTTTTGGGGGGTGGGGTTGTCCTGCAGGTTCCAATCTTATCTCTGTCAATTATTTCGGAAAAATGCGATTCTCTGCAATCTCACTGAACGAAAGGATCGTAAAACTGACAAACTAGAAACCTCGATAAAATAAGTGTCTATTGCTTGAACTGGTTTAGAGTAAGGGTTTATGCGTTTATGTGTTT